TAGTTCTATTTGGGTGTGTTATTTTCCATCTCTGATTTGGATCTGCAAGTGTGTGGATACGTGTGAGTGCATTTCCAACTGAGTGAATGGAACGGACGTCCACATTCCAAAGCAGACTGTTTGGCTGTTATTGTTTTGACAAATTGGGGTGGGTGTATTTATTACGGATACTGATCGTATTGGAAAATGGTATGTATGTAAATTCATTCCCGTTTAGGGGGAAGTTACCCTGAGTCAAATGTGTTTGCGTATTAATAATAGAGAGTATTCAAAATAGGAGACAAAATGAAATTTTTGTTACGAATACACAGATTTGCCAGTTTTCGCAGCAGCTCCATGCGAAAAACCTTGGAAACGTTGCTTTGCTGCAATTAGAACAACTAGTTTGGAATGAAACAAATGTGGAGTTACATCTATGTTTCTCCCTACCTCGTATGAGCGTTTTGTGGCGCAAGGCTGTTACATGAAACCCAGCAATACCTAACTAGTAGTACATTTTAATTAGAAAACTTACCCCGGGTGTTGGCAGGTGAATCTGGTCCATCACTGTAGTTTTTCGATGATGGCGAACTGTGTTTTAAAAATTGGAACATGTCATAATAAAATCGCACTAATTGTAGAACATTTTATCTTCTATTTACCAGCTCAAAGCCAAAATTATTGGTTTTCGTTGTTTGATTAAGTCCACCACCTGGCCATCGTTAAGCGTTGTTTTCGCCACTTGAGCCGATGAGGAGAAATTTGGCTGTTCTTTAACCCTTTTCAGTGAACAAAACTTTAACATGTTTGCCTATCTTACACACCACATACAAACGACCGCTTGAACGAATTGCTAAACAGAAACTAAATTCGTCAGGCCACGATCTCTTGAAATGTTTTGGGGGCGTATTTCTACGAGATAACAGACATAGACCATAAAGCAGTCTTCCAGAATAAAATAACATTTGGCCGGCAAACTGCATGACATCTTCATCACCATTGCGTTTTATTTCATCTTTATAAAAACTGGAAACATTTTTGGGATTGTGTGCCATGATGTCTGTTAGGGCAGGCAAAGTTTTTGTCGATCAAATCCAGCCCCTAGGATGATTCTAAAAATGATTTTTTGTGTAACATAATTTTTATTCAAAATTCTAGTTTTTATTTATCGATATATTATTTTTTTATGTGTATGTGGGGAGTTTTTGGAGTCGAGAAATTCATTTCTGATCTTTATTTTTACCTATGACAACAGCCAGAGGGCGATACATATTTTACAAAATGTTCTCTAGTTTCTGAGAAAAATTATAAGCTTTTCGGTAAAATGAATCTTTATTATATATATATATAAAACCTAAATTTGTAGATTTATTTTATCTTTACCACCTATGACCACCGCCAGAGGGCGATACATATTTTAAAAATTTTTCTGAGAAAAAAAGTTTTTCGGTAAAATTAATATTTATTTTATTTTTTCCTCGGTTTTCCGAATTCTTCTTCAGGGTCAGCAATACTAGTTGAACCCTGTCAATGTTGATTTGCCTTATAAAATCATGGTAATAGGGGGAACAGTTGACGGCACTATTTTGTTTCTAAACTTGAATATGAGAGATATTTCTTCAGTTTCTGGAAAAAGTATTTGTATTGCCACAAATTTCTACAACATTTTCCAATCTTCACAATCTTTTATTTACGGTTCTGTCATAAAAATGGCGCTGTATTGAAAAATATTTGTCATTTGTTGTGCCCATTTAATGTTGCCCTCACATACCGGTAGCTGACAGGTTGTAGTAGATTTAAGTTTATAGTGAAATGTTCACAACAAATCATTAATATTATACATTGGTGGTGTGTTGTGTTTATACCCTCCAACATTTCAATTCTCGATTCAAAATATGTTCCCTGTATAGTTATCCTTGCATTTGCTAACATAATGTTACGTTCTTGGACTTTACTTATTCCCGTGTAGACGTTGTTTTATTTCCCGATACAGTTCGTACCAAATAAAACGCGGGTTCGTTCTGATTACGATTATTACAATGATTTTATTCACACAACTTTACTTTACACTTTACTTTACACGACGGTTTCAATTCGCGATCTGATTCACAACTGACTCACTGCCTTTCCATTTCCCCTATTTATATGAGCCTTGCTTGTAGCTACAGAAGTTTCTAGACGATCTGGTAACACCTAGATCACGAACAATCTATCAATGCAACAAACACACATACAAACTTACATTGAGTAAACAATAACAACAACACATACAAACTTACATTGAGTAAACAATAACAACAACACATATACAGGTGAGGGGGTAACAAAGAAAGAGGAATTAAGCGATCATCAATGATGACGTTTAACAAGAATTGTACGTCAACAAAAAAATAGACAATGAAAGAGGAAATGGAAGGATGTAGAAAAATCTATACAGTAGTTGTTGTGGTGAAGTTATTCAAATAAATTGCGTAGTAGAAATTTACGTTACAATTCAAATTCTTAAATTAACGGAATTCATCTAAAGTAACTTAAATCTAAATTTATATTCGTAACAATAATTTATTATACATGTATCGAATCGAAAACTGGCTACTGTCGTGTTTACATATTTGAACTAAACTGAATTAAAAATCAAAGCAACTTTGATGTATAAAGTACAATACAATAAAAATCAATACAATTGATAATAGAAAATATAAATATTAAAAAATTTAACCAAATGCGTTTAATATCAGTAAGTGAACCAGCGCAGTATCATGATAAGCCCGTCATATAAGAAAAATACGAATTAATTATTTTATAAAAGAATAAAAATGTTTAATCAGGACCATCCATAGATGTGGTTTAACTCTGAAGCTCCGCTCAAAGCAGTTTTATTATTCTCAAAGGCCCGCTCATATTCCCATATTAAGACATAGTTAAATTCTTAACTCCGTTCATTTGCGTGTTATAATTCTTATGTTCCTCCCACAGATTTGGTTTGATTCTTAAGCTCAGCCCATTGGAGTGGTTTAATTATTAAACTCCGCCCAAAGTCTTGATTTCATTCAAAACTAAATTTAAACTTCGAACCCCACATTTAAGAGACAACGTTTTACATGGTGTTTATATAAAATTAAGTTTTTATAATGAAGTTTAAATAATGAAGCTTCCCAAACGTTTGCTTTTTAAGCGTTTATAAAATGTATAAACTATTCCAAAAAAAAAAAACAAGGCATTTGACTACGCAAAAAATACAACGAGAAAAGGCGACCGTTTCCGTATATAACGTATGGACAAATGAAGACGTGCCCGCGGTTGCCAAGCTTTGCCCTATTATAAATATTTCGCTCTACTCCTTCTGGTACTTCGCAACCAGTGTCTACATTTTTAAATTTGTTAATCCAATATCAATCGAATTAAATGTCCGGCTTGATACAAACTTTGCAGATTTATTTTACGAAATCTAGATCATGTCCGAAGATGGGAACCATTGTTCCCATGTTCTTTAGTACCTCCCAATAAAAATAATAAATTCATGGCACAATCCCCTACAAACTTACGTGATTTACAAAAAATCGGCAAATTCTAAAGCCCTAATATTTGTATATTCCATAACATTACTCTCTTAATTAATAAATACGATAATTTTAATTCGCAGAACACAAACATTAATATCACACACTCGTTATTTCAACGGGTTATTAACAGAGGTAAGCATTTCACATATTTATGTTATTTTTTAACATTTTTTGGAACCGGAATGCAAATACAACAACTTTCATACAAAGGAACTGAAAATTCAATTATGCGTATTCTTATTAATTAGTTGTTAATGTAAGACAGGGACATTACACACAAATTGCTTTCAAAGAGAGCACACGGGCGGGGGTTTGCCCGATGCGAATGTAAGGGGAAAACAAATCTACAAGAGAATAACTATATCTTCAAAGGTTTCTCATAAGTGAAACATGTATGTGTATAAACTTTTCAAATTTTAAGGCAGTATTATTATAAAAGTAGTTAATTACAATGTAGAGTAACTTCGGGTAATCTGGACCACCATTTTCTTTTTTTGATATTGTGGTCATAACAACGGTTAAAAATAAAAAAAATTGTTTTCGCCTTAGTAGATTTGTTGTCAAATATATTCCAGGTCAAACATAATATATATCTGTCTTAAAAATCTTATTGCATTATATTTCAAAAAACTCTAAACTGCATAAAAAATTACTTGGCGGGTAATGTGGACCAGTATGTGTGGGTAATGAGGATCAGTAAGTTAAAGGTAGAATGTGGATTGGTTGTGATAAATTTCAATTTATTGCACTCTTGGGTAGCATGGAATGCAAAAATATATGGGTTCGTGTTTTGGAATAGCCCCCATTTAAGGGTACCGCCCCATTTGCGGTATTTTGAAGGTCCTTGCTTCGTTATCCAACCGAAGCACCTGAAATTTCGCATATCGAGTTTTCATAGGATAGAATGGCTCCTCGCATATTAAATGCGGCCATGTTTCGAACTCGTGCTCATGTAAAGGTCCCAATTTGTATAGTGGTCCACTTTACCCGACATTGAATATTTTTTTTATTTAAAAATAATTATCGGCTTCAAAAATGAATAAAAATTAAAAATCACCGATTGTAATTGCAGCGTAAATGTATATTTTTATAAAAATAATTAAAAATATAATGTTTTTTGAAGATTGACAGAAAAATACAAAAAAAAATTAAAAATTATTTTTAAAGAAAAAGTCAATTATCCTAGGTTGTTTCAGAAATACATTAGGGGTTTATGAAATACATTTTTACATAACTTCCATCATACCGTTATATCCTACATTAGGATCATTCTTCCACAAAAGCAAATTATTAAATTTAATAAAAAAAGATGCTACACCTCCATCCTAGACAATAATTCCGCAGACCTTCGCAAATAATAGGCTGAAGGTATATTTTTGTCGACAACACCGACTGACACTTTTTTACTTGTTAAACAAACGCATTTCCTTTCACAATATATTTTGACTAATAGAATCATCAACTAGGTGTAGGCTTTGTTGGGCACACTCCCTTGTCCTTGAGGAACAACTGGAGACACGCATTATCCACTCTATCCCAAAGCAACGAACCAAATCTCCTTGCTGTATAATCTATTAGCATAACTGACCGACAATTTATGCAATGGTTCCGATAATGGAACAAAAGCCCCACGGTCGGCGACAATACGTGATCCGTATAGCCGGGAGCAGCACGCCATAGGCGCTTTGTACCCATTTCCACAGAGGCGTGAGTGTTGACAATGAATCGGCTATTCGTAAAAGCGGGCATAATTTCCAAACTGCGTTTCACCTTCGTTTGTGTGATGAGCAAACGATTAGTAGCCCTCTCCGGGATACTAAATGAATCACTTCGATCTTTCTTATAGAAGAAAACGTTGCGGAAAACATATGAAGCCGTTAGTCCCTCGTCACATTGCAACATAAACCTTAGGAGGGAATTGTGTTTTAGCGGCATTAAATACTCGTCCAAGCCCACTATGGCAGTATAACGAAAATTGTCCACAGACATTGCCCGATAGATGCAATCGTTGATTTGGGCCACACTCCCCCCCATATACAAGTCCAGCTGGTGATCTCCTAAATTCCAGTGCAGAGTATCCACAAACCCCAATTTCCGATAATAGCTTAGTATATCGGTCACTTCTTTGGTATAGGTGGCGGCATAGAAGTAGAAGTGGCCGGCTCCCAGAAGCCGATACATCTCGATAAATTCGACTAGACCCAACGCTGTGGTTGTATTCGCTTGCAATGGCGCCACGCAAATCGATAGAATTGGTTTTGATTTGGCAAATAGTTGATTCATATCACGTGGATAGCTGTAAAATGGAACAAATACAAAAGATATAAATTTTTGGCCCTGACAAGGATCTTTTTCTATATTTCTGTCAAGCCTGCTCTCTCAATTCGGTATCGTTTACTGGCTATGCCCAAACCATACAATTGTCGAGTATAAACTGCGCTCAGGATGAACTTGACCTATTTGTAGCTGGTGATTCCAGACTTACCTTATGGGAACGAAAGTTGGACTGTCCTTATTTAAGCTGTTCGATTTGTATTTGATTGCCACAGCATGCGGCAGTCGAATGACTAGGCTTTCGTTCATTTGTCTATACAGCGGACAGACAATTGCATATGCAGCAAATGTTGAGTCATTATGGTCCTGCAATGGCTTTGTGGTCTGTGCCATTGACTTCGTCAGGGAAAAATCTTCTCCTCTGAAAGTAGAACAGAGCCAAACAGTTGAATTTTCTTTACACCAATAAAATCCTACCGAAAAATGCAGGCGATTTCATCCCGAAAGTACAGTGGCAGTATAGCAAAGATGCGTACAGAACCAATTGCTATTCCCAAGGTGGCGTCTATGGGGTAATCTAGAGGGGAAATAAAAAGCCTGTTATTTACATAGTGCTGCAAGGTTGGATCCTAAATACCCAAAATTTCCACACGCCGATCAAAATATGCCGAATATATTTTATGTCTCATCCAGCCGTGGCCAAGATTGCGCCAGGTATTGTTATAGGACCACACCAAAGAAGTGGGTTTTATCAGGTCCAGGGATAGTTGCATGCTTTTGATGTCATTCTGTAGATTTTCATTCTGCGAAGTACACGAACAACCTGTAATGTAATCTCCTTGGGTTTACTTAGAGGAATAGGCCCGTCTACTTACCGCCCTGGTGCTGAGTGCGACATATGCCAATATCAAGAGACTGCTGGCCACAATCCCCGACAACAGGAAGTACATATATTGCACGCGCTGATTGTCCTGAACAAGCATCCTGCGACAGTTGAATGTCAGTGTTGTCTTATTGCGGGAACTGCTTGGGTAAATAGCCGATGAAAAGCATTTGGTACGTAAATGTGCTGTCGCTGTGTCCTTCTCTTATTATTATCGTGCTTTCTGTTTCCAAACACAATAAAAGAACAAAGACTGCCCTACCGTGAACACAAACTGGGGGAAATAATGAAACAAATGTTCGATAACTGAATAACCCCCCTGGTTAGCCATGGTTGTCAAGTATATGCACGTACGAGTATTTACATATCGATGTACGTTGATGGAGACGCCTTGCTCGGTTTATTGCTGATGTCAGAGTAATTACGGATGCCCTCTGTTGCATAGGGTACCGAGGGCACAGTGGTGACAAAAGATATCGCTATAATGGGGCGCACTTTTATGTCCGTTCGATATAACTACCAAAAACACCAAAATATAATTTATAGATATCGACCAACATTTCGTAACAAAAACTTTTATGTCCGTTCGATATAACTACCAAAAAACCAAAATATAGTTGATAGATATCGACCAACATTTCGTAACCAAAACGTTTTGTATTTCATTTCTGTACAAAATACCCAATAATAACTTCAAATGAATGATGCTAAACAGTATATTGAATCTCAAAGTGCGTATATATATAGTTAAAACTCCGACTATAAGGTTATTCATTGCAATAATATGAAGTTTAAATGTAATAGGTGCGATTATTGCTACAATTTGCATATTGATAAAATATATGTTATTTTCGCACCTCTATTGCATTCTTCGTTCGCGTAAATTTAATTTCTTAAGTTTCTGGGTTAAATTTACAAGCAAACCACTGTAGTGTTTGCAGCATTGACAAGTCGGTCTATGTCTTTGCCACTGTCATTTATTTTCAATATCTTGTTTGCGAGTGATTGCTCTTTAAGGTAAGAATCTATCGATTGATTGGGTTTCATTTGTGGCCACACATTTGCACCACCTGTGCAGAAAGAGGCGAATATAAAATTAGCCGCTGAATGACAATACATCTGTGCATACACATGCAAATGGAAGTAAAGATAATATCTATATCGATCTACATATATATATATATATATATATATGTAAAAAAAAATAACTTACGCCCAGATGACACGGCTGAAGTTGGACTCTTGAAACTGTTTTACAAAGCTGGGTTTGTGGAAATTCGTACTAGATGAGCAAGAAAAGAACTAAACTTATTAATCAACGCCCAGACGAATCGCCATAGTCGATTTGTGCGTATGTGTGTTGTAAAGGTGGGAATTCGTACTAAAATATGTGAATGTTGTCAGTATTGTTCGGTTGAAGCCCTAAAAAATATATACATACATAAATGTATACTTTCCGGTACCTGTGCTGTGTGCGAAACAATTTCAACACATATAAACCTATATTCTACCTTTTCCATTTTCAGTTTTCCTCAAAGCTACTCCCAGAGAAAATGCCCTTAGTAAACATTGTTAACAATCAAAGGATATCATAGTAGACTGTTTTAATGTTCTGTTTGTTCGAGGAAATTTGTGCGAGTTTGGCTACAAAAAAATAAAAACATTTGAACGACATTTGCAACGATATTTTCGTGTGTCCGTTTAATGTTCGTTTCCTATTTAATAAGTATTAGATATCTTCGTCTTCGTTGCGTTCGCATTCGCATTCGCTTTACTTCAAAAGCTTCTACCGTTAATTTGTGCTTTCTGGTGGTTTGGGTTTGAACCATAGAAAGTGGCTTAATATTCCCAGTCATAGATAAAGCACAACTTAATCCAATTCAGTGCCTTAAGAGGTCAAAATTTTTTTTGACATAATTCGAATCTACACTAATTCAAGAATGTCCCTACAAAATTTCAGGTGAATATCTCAAGAACTCTTGAAGATATAGCCGATTTATTCTGTCAGCATCAAGTGACAGCTAAAGGACTTCTCAAACTTTAAACGCGTTATTCTCTAAACGAATGGCGGGCACGATAACTCAAAAACTAATAACCCAATCGATTCCAAATTTTTACACGTTTCTCTGTATGTGAATAGCTATCGTATGAACTAGGATAAAGCTAATCGGTGAAGATCTTCCTTGTTTTTAACATAGTTTTTGGTCAAAAATTGGCGATTTTCCAAAAATATTTTTTCAAAGTTCCGCCATTTTGTTAATTTTAGAGCGAAGTCAATAATCCTAGTCAATAATCCTAGTGTTAACCCTACAAACTGATTTATAACAACAAAAAGAAGTAATCTTTATAATAAAAAATGACAAATAATATCAACAACACATATGTCACATAATGTTCGTATTTTTGAGTCCTTTAAAGCCAAAAATTACAAAGAACGACAACGTTTTCACTCATTTCGCAGAGTTTTTTCCATTAAAAAAAATCCATGTATATTTGAAGTCGCGCGAGTTGTGGCTTTAAAGACCATTGTTAGTATTATTGAAACATTACAATTGAAACATTACATTATTGAAACAATACAAAACATATTTGGAGTGAGTTGTAAAATATTTAATTGTGTGTTGAATTGCAAACTCAGTAGCGGGTTTACAAATATAGCGTTAATTATGATGGTCTTGTGGGACACACTGGGCGTTCGGCAACTGGTATGATTCCAACACCGCATGTGGCGTATGGAATGATATTTAATCATCCTTGAAATGTCTAATAGACCAATTTGACGGTATCATATTCTCATCCTCATATTATGCTGCAGCTCAATGAATCTAAAATTGTATTTTCCACCTACAGCATTTTGTTATTTCGTTTGTAAGGCAATATTTATGTACTAACCAGTAAGGAAAGTAGTAAAGTCGGACGGGGCCGACTATATGATACCCTTCACCACTATGGGTATATTTAACAGGACTATTAGCATGAAATTGGATGAAATAAAATATGTGGTATTTATCTAAATGTGAATCTACCTAGATCTATCCATAAAGTATGTAAATCGACTTCAAACAAATATAAATAGGTCATCCGTTGGGCTATGTCTGTACTTCTAGAAAACGCAACTACGTTATTTTATGCTCAATTTTGTAACTTGTGCAGGCAGACATCACTCTAGGCTCAATTCAGTACGTTATGCTAAATTTCGTGCAAATCGAAAGATATATAGCGACTTTGGTGCACCATTTACATGAAATCGGACGAAACTATATGTAGGAGCTATATAGAAATCTGAACCGATTTTCTCGAAACTTGGCAGACATCACTCTAGGCTCAAGTCAGTACGTTATGCGAAATTTCTTGCAAATCGAAGGACATATAGGCACTTTGGTGCACCATTTACATGAAATCGGACGAAACAATCGAAAGATATATAGGGACTTTGGAGCACCATTTACAAGAAATCGGACGAAACTATATATGAGAGCTATATCTAAATCTGGACCGATTCTCACGAAACTTGGCAGACATCATTCTAGACCTAAATAATTAGGCTGTACCAAATTTGTGCAAATCGGAATATATATAGGGACTTTGGGCACCATTTACATAAAATCGGACGAAACTTTATATGGGAGATATATCTACATCAGGACCGATTTTCATGAAACTTGGCAGACATCATTCTAGACTAAATTAAGTACGTTATGCCAAATTTCGTGCAAATCGAAAGATATATAGGGACTTTGGTGCACCATTTACATGAAATCGGACGAAACTATATATGGGAGCTATATCTAAATTTCGACCGATTTTCTCGAAAGTTGGCAGACATCATTCTAGGCTCAATTCTGTACGTTATGCCAAATTTCGTGCAAATCGAAAGATATATAGGGACTTTGGGGCACGATTTACATGAAATCGGACGAAACTATATATGGGAGCTATATCTAAATCTGGACCGATTTTTCCCAATTTCAATAGGGTTCGTCCTTGGGCCGAATAAGTGACCTATGCCAAATTTCATCCAATTCGAATCATAAATGCGACCTGTACTTTGTTTACAATTTAACGTGGACAGACAGACGGACGGACGGACGGACATGCATAAATCGACTTAGAAAGTGATTCTATGCATATTCTCAAAAGGAACCCTGGGTCTATCTCGATTATTTTTGCCTGTTACAAACATATGCACAAAGACATAATACCCTGTACCACAGTGTGGTGAAGTTTGTGTACAATTGTATCTCAATAAAAGGCACCGTTGGTGCCTATTTTTTACTGCAGTGGACTTCTGACACAAAGATGCCTGCTGTCCCAGTGTTTTGTTTCTTATTTTTTCCTCGAATCTATCGATATACATATGTATACTATCGATATACATATGTATACTATATGTATAAATAAACCGTTGATTGTCCGTGGCACATATGTATATTGAAGTTCACTAAGATCCGTATGGATCTGTTGTCCATCGACAAAAGGAAACAACGCATTAATATCGTATCTCTTGAATAACATTCCATAATTGTGTCCGTTTGCTTCAAAACAATTTTTCGATTTGGCAAATTGTCTAATATGTTCAACTCGACCATATTCTTATTTTCTTTTTTCCACATTAATAGAGAATCCAGCGTAAATACCCGTGATCGTATATTTGTATGCATGTGTGTGCGCACTTTTGCTTTCGCCCGAATTAAACGCAATCAAAAAAAATGATATTTCGTTCTGGGAACCCGTTAATGTCACTGTTTCGCACGGATCACTGTTGACCAACTAAATCGGCCGATTTCTCTTCAGACAAAAACGAAACATTTTCAAATTTGTTTCCATATGCTCTTACATCTATATGAACATAACATGTATGTATAGGAACATGCACACATATGTATGTATTTCTCCATATAATTACATTGTTTTTTTTTTTTCCATCCCATACCAATTCCGCCCCTTCGGCCCCACAATTTTATTGAATTTATATGGCAAACAACTTTTGCGATGTATTTTTTACTGTTGCTTTATTCCCAGCTAATTCAAATACTTTTAAAATTTATATATATATATATATATAAATATATATATATATATATATTAGGCAGAAAGTGTGACCAATGTTTGTGAACTGATTTTGGTGGATGCAAACAATCTCGATGTTCGTATTATATTAAGGGGATCTCCCCCATTTTCGATTTAAAATGTTCAAGATTTTCATTGGGCTGGTAAATGAATACCAATCCATGTTAAGGTTTGAAACTTTACACATATATAATTGAAGAATTAAAAGCGAAGAAAAACTATTAGCAAAATTCGGTTGTTGTTGTTGTTTTTGGTGATTAAAGAAAAGTCCTTATTTTTTATGGCGGGCATGATAACTCCTCATTGGAACATCGGAATCCGGAAAGTCCAAGGGTGTTAGAAAGAGTACACGTCTGGCTCTCGTGTGAACTGGGATTATTGACTTTGCTCAAAAATTAACGAAATGGCGAACCTTTGATTGATTTTTTTTTTTTTTTTGAATTTCGCCTATCTTTGACCACTGTTAAAAAGAATAGGGTAGTCCTTCACCGGTTGGCTTTATCCTAGTTCAGACAATAGCTATACACTCCCAGAGAAACCTATAAAAATTTGGAACCGATTAGATTATTGTTTTTGAGTTATCGTGTCCGCCATTAATAAAAACGCTACTTCGAGGACAATGCTTTTAAAGTTTGAGAATCACTCTTGCTGTCACTTGATGCTGACACAATAGTTAGTTAAAAGTCGTAACGCATACAAATAATCCAAACCTACTACAAATGCCAAATGTAGTGCTTTATTATGCTTTATGTTATTAAACAAAATTGTCGTATTAGAGGTTTCGAAAAGCCTCAAGTAATTGAACAGATTCCATCATACCCACAAAAAGTTACTATTTGATGCGCTCTTTGGTCCGACGGTAAGATTTTGCCCTTTTTAAAAAACGACCGTCAATTCAGAGTGTTATGGTCATGTGATACAGACTTTTTGTTGGCTGCTATTGAAGAATACGACTTGGTGAATATGTGGTTTCAACAAGTCTCACATGCCACACAACTCGAGCGAACATGGCTTTATTGCAAGATAAATTTCCTGGTAGAGTAATTACTCGTCGTGACGATATCAACTGGCCACCAATATCATGCGATTTGATACCATTAGACTTTTTATGGGGCTCGAAGACCGTGTTTATACAGATAAACCTTCAGTTCGTGAGCACTCAAAAACCAACATTCGTCAAATTATGGCTGAAATAGGGGAGACTGGGCACATTCGGCACTTTTTTTAGAGCTTATTAAACAGTTGGTTATTGTCCTCTAATACATAGTTATAAAAACTAGTACCAAAAACATAAAATAAATTAGTATTAATTAAAAATGTTTTCAGTTTTGTAAAAATTGTCAAATTCGCGAATGTACCCCTACCCGGGGTAGCTTCGGCATTTGATGGGGCGCATTCGGCACCATAGTCATAGCCAGTTCGAAATCGGTCGGGCTGAAATTCAGATCCTCTAAAGGCTCTTTTTTGATTTAATATGAGACACAATGTTTGACTTTTAAGGCTATATTTTCTAACGGCGGACTTTGGCGTCTCAAGGTCACACATACCATCAGAAATAGCTTTTTCTGTCGCATTTTCGTCAATAAATCATACATACTGAAAAACATTTTAATGAAATAATATAGCACTATTTGTATATGGCCGAATGTGTCCCACTTTAAAAGGTATTTTCTATATATATATATATATATATATTTTCATTTTTTATCAATCTTCTAAAAACATGATATTTTTAATTATTTTTTTTATAGGAATATACATTGTAATTAACGACTTTTTAATAATACTGCCTTAAAGTTTTAAAAGTTTTATACACGAAATACTTACGAAGTAGAATATACGTATGAGAGCTTCATATCGAAGACGGCATTGCGTTTCATGTGCCCCGATGATCAACTTTTGTCAAAAAGTGGTCGAAAATTACTTCAAAAGAATTAATACTTGCAATATTGTGCGGATGTCATTTATGGATTTGGGCTTCGACTAAATAGAAAAAATATAGTTCCATATGTCGGAGTGGCACTTATAGATCTCACTAGGTGGGAAACATCAGAAAATCGCCAGTATAGATTAAGACGCGTTTTTCATAGCTTATTTAATATTATTTAACTTCTCGAAACATTTTTAAATACTTGAGTAGGTTTTTAATACAGCATCACAGAGTCTAGCGCATTGTTTGTAGGGTGGGAAATTCCTTATGAGGATAAACACTCTTGGCGAGTATATTAGGAACACGGAGGGAAAAATTCGCCATAGGTCAAGTTTTTGAGTTATAGCGTGATGCATATTTTTGTAAAACATATCCTGCTTCTATATCAAATCCTTGTGCATCCTTCTCGTCATTAACTTCCGGAGGTTGTACAATATACAGTTGTATATCACGGAAGAAAAATATTGTAGATTGTATAAAAAAGTGATCTGAACTCGAACTTTGATACGGTTGAATTAAATTAAATTCGTAGAGGCAATTTCGCAATAAATTCGATATTAATACAATATATCAATTAAGGATCTTTGTAATCCACATTGCCCAATATGCCTGATGGGCCGCTTAACCAATGGCGAAACGCGTCGCATAACGTTGGGAATGCTGTATCTCTCTGGCTTTCCATTTCATCGCAGCTTCTCATCTCGAAAGAGAAATAATTAAAAACATTATATGAATGACCCTTCGCCCTAAAAAGGCATACAACCAAAATAAATTTCTATTCTAACGAAAATATACGTTCGTAATAGAATAATTGGAAAATCTATTTCGTGTTTTTATCATTTTCCAGTTGGTGTACCAAAGGATGGCCTGAGTTCGTCTAAGGATGGCCTGAAGTGTCTAAAAACTTGCTGAAAACATTTCCGTTATAAGTCATTGAAAATCCTACAACTCTTCAATATTTTATTTCCATTAAAACGTATCTATCTATCACAAAAAGTTCTCCCGCAATAAAATCCCAGCTACGTCCCTGGTTATATTTGGGTAAAATCAGTAGTGTTGGCGTGTTATTTGGCATACCATCTGTGTTTTGTTTTTGCAAAATCGTCTTTTTTTATAAAAACAATTATTTGTTAGTGGGGAATGTATGACACTGTCCACCAAGAGGTATGGCAGGGAAGACTCTAGTTTCGGATCTGGCCGCTGCTCCTTATCAGTTCAGATCCGCACATATAATCTTCCCTGCCTTGCATCCTTTCGTAAACACAACAAAGTTGGATTACGCCAGACTAGTTTGCAAAACAAAATTTGCGCAAATTTGTCATCTGGAATTGCCATTGAATGAGTCAAGTTTTCTAGTAACACAAAACGCGAAATATTTGCTTCGTTTTACACAAATACACACAAAGATATATGCATCTTATTTATTTTACGTATCGAGTTAATACACAATATACTTCAAGTAATTTTGCTCCTGGAGTTTACGAGATTCAGGCTTAGGGATGGCAAACCCAGCACATGCACGATACATCGTTAAGGGGTTTGACCATTGGCGCTTTGCTGTCCGTTGTCGTCCATCGATGCTGTGGAGGAGGATGAAGTGGAGGACTTTGATTGGTCGCTGTTCTCTTGGCCATCTTCGTTTGCTTTCGCGGGTTCAACGGCAATGAGATTGGATCCACGATCTAATAGAGCACCGTAGGCAGGGCTACAAGGGGAGAAAGGAGAGATCTTTTCTCAATAACACTACTATTCTCAGTAAAAAGTGTCGCGAGGCAAATGGTGCAAATACAAAATAAATACGAATTCATAGCTAGATACAGGTGTGTCGTCATCGTAAACCATCAGCAACTTACCTCTGCTGCTCCCGGTCCCGGTTCCTGTCCCTGTTACCAGTACCATGGCTACCCTCGCTACCATTACCACCACTATTGCCATTACCAGCGCGAGCAGGCTGGCGATCTGATTCCTCCTCCCTCATATAAGACCAACCGGCACCTGGTCCCTTCGTGCTATCATTGCGATTTGCATTGGGTTTGTATATGGAATGTGAAATGCCCATTTGGTGGTTGCTGCTGTCAATGGGACCAGAAGTTACACGTGTGCCGCTATCTGGTGGAACATATGGACAATTCGACTTTTTTATGCCACAGTTATATCGACTGTCCTCGTTTGGTTCGGGAAGGTAGCGCCTATCCTCTTTAGTACCTTTGGCGTAGTAATAACCAGATCCAGCTGTCTTGACATATCCTGTCTGCGTCCTAGACGGCCGTGAAAGCGTAGGCAATGACAATGGCGGCCAACGGTAGTTGTGATGGTAGCCAGCAATACGGTTTCGTTTTGGGTGGAGGTGCGGAATTGTATTTGTATTATTTTGTATTTGGTTGATGATGTTGATGGAGTGTCAGAGTGTCGAGTAGAATTGTTTTGGGCCGATTTATACAGTTGTGTTGGTTGTATTTTACAGAGTGTTTATTTTTGGTGGAAGGAGATGGTTAAATATGTAAGTAAAGAACAGATTTTAAACAAATATTTACAATTGACAAGGAAGTCTATGGTCCTCGGCTGTAACGTATATTTAATTGTGTCCAGTCGTTTCACATATCGACAATTAAATGGACGTGACATTGGAGCTAATATGCGTATGAATTTGAATGCATGAATATGAGATATATATACAAATATTATCGTATGGGAGGGTCTTATTTTGATACGTTTATATGTACACGGCGGGAAGATTTACACTTAGGAGACAGACAGACATACATGCATACACATAGTATAAGTACATTTGTGTGCACTTTACCTGTATGTGTCATCCCATGGGCGATAATTTCGAAAACCATACCTTGGTGAGTAGCGATCATAGTAGTCACGATCGTAGCCATGAGATCCATATCCAGTTCCATAGCGTGGGCGGTCGTAGATGCGATCTAAATCAATGGAAAATAATAAGTTAGCGACGCCTACAGATGGTGCAGTGTACAAAGTAGTATTCCTTAGTAGTAGTTTATTACTATTCAAATGCCGACAAATTCGGCATTTATTCAGCTTGTCATACTCACCACGGGGATAATCGACACCACGTGGATAATCGACGCCACGTGGATAATCAACACCACGTGGATAATCGACACCACGATCGCCACCATAATAACGATCACGACTATCATATCCATAACCTCGCATTTCACCACGATCATAGACGCGTTTATCGTTGTAACCAGCATAGCCACCGTATCTGCGGTCGTAATCATCACGATTGTCGTAGCCGTAACCTCGACTCTCTCCACCATATGATCCACGCCTATAACCTCTTGTGTCATAGCGATCATAACTATAGCGATCGTAATCGACAACATCACGTTCTCTATAGCGATCTTCGTAGCGGTCATTGCGGGGATAATACCAATTCCCCGGACGATCGTCTCCCGAACGCGAGTAGCCAGCGTACTGACGCCGGTCTTCGTATCTGGAAGAATATAAGGCAAAATAATGTTGTTCTAAAGCAGAAATAAACAGCGAGCTCACCTGTCATCATAGCATGTCACACACCGCGACTGTCGAGATTTTTTATAAATGGATCCCAATAGTCCGGGTGGCATCGTATCCTTTGGTTGATCACCACTATTACTTTGACCATACGACAGTTGGTTTGAGACGGCAGTGGATGCCGATTTCACTAGCACCAATGGCCATTGCAGTACACAGAGGGCGACGAGTAACGGCGATATCTAAACGAAAATTAACTCATTAGTAAATTCCGTTCAATTCGAAAGAGAGCTAAGCGAAAATGTGAAAAGACTTAAAGTCCAACAAAACAACCGACATCAGATCCATTCAAGCACAATTCATATAATGTATAGGGACTTGGGCATATTAGAAGCCGGAAGCCATACTTCTACATATTCTCCAACATTTGCTAAAATCGGAGGTATTTTGCAGGGACAAAAAAATAATTGTTAATAAAATCCAAACAACTTCAGGAAACAAACTATGCTCCGACTTAAAAACGAGATCCGTAGGACATATTCAAGAAATATTTAGTTTATAGATTCTGTTCCCTGAATGTTCGATTCGACTCGGAGTCCGTATTGGAACATCAGACTCGGAGTCCGTATTGGAACATCACGACCCTTCAAAGTTTATGAAATTTACTGGAATGAAATAGTGCTTGCAAATTGTCCACATTGTCTGATGCTTTCGAAATTTAAAATTGTTGTTCGCGTTATGCAGTCACCTCTGCACGCAAACAATTGTCGGTATTTAATGTCCGTACTCTATAGATGATATTAGCTGGCGTTGTTTATTCCGCTTCTGTGCAGCGGCGTGTGATTCGGTTCTTATTAAATAGGTCATCGCATTTGACCCAAATATACGTTAAATGTGAGCTTTAATAATAGTATCATTGTTTGTATCATTTGCATTGTTTCCGTTTCCGTGTTATTAAAATGCGTTTTGTTTTTATTGTCCGACATAGTTTTATAGCCGTACAAAAAACCTAATTGGAAGGTATTAAAATACATAATATTGATGTCATTAGATATCTTCATACAGATAAATCTCGCCAAACCAAATTGCAAAATGTTCGTGATTATTGAGGTTTTTAAATTGGTTTATATTTGTATTAATTTATCGATCATTTAAATAGTTTTATGTTTTTATAAAAAAATAAATCATCATTGTATCGAGAGTTTACTGTAGACATAGTAGGCATATTTGTTCATTGTGATCATGTGCCAAACAACGACAAAATATATTAAGAGAAGATTAGTTATTAATTAATTAATCGGTATATAATATTATCAATGACAGGGTGGCTCACCAAATGACACCTGGCCATCGTGTATGTTTATGTGTACGAATTATGACTGCTCATAAATATGGTAAATGGCCATCGATCATTGGCAACATGGAATTCAGTGACCCTTGATAAATTCTGGCGTAAAGCAGAAGACAAACGACCTTTGACGGTGTTGGACATTAGTGTGCATGTGTCTGTGACAGAGTACTAGCTGTATACAAAATACAACAACTCATTGTTAAGCCGGCGAGTAGCGTGGTAGTTAGTTTGACATCACATACCACCTTCTCCGCTAGCAGCAGAATTGGTCTAGTCTCCACGCTTCGCTAGCCAAGCATCAGGAACCATTTCCGGTTAGATGCCACAAAAGTCCCCTTCCACTGTGTTTTGGTGGCAGAACGATTCTATGCCCAATATTGTGGTCATTGTAGCAATTGTTGTTTGTTTTTGTAATTATGAAGTGATTAATAATATTTTCATAATTCAAATGAGAGCTTGATCGCTATTTAGCTTAATTATTTGTTGAAATACCACAAACCACAATATATTGACATACCTCTGGGTGTTTATATGTGATTCATGTATTATTTGTGTGTTTGTGTGTCCCATTATGTATGTGAATTCACAATTGTGTGGCAGTTCTATTCTTAATTTTATAAAATCCGCTGTTAGCTTCATCTTCACAATGATATAACTTCAGCCGAAACAGCAACAACAACAGCAGATAGCGAAACAATAAAAATATGACAGAATTAATTACAATAATCCCCATTTCAGCAATAATATTACCTGCATACGGTTCTGGTGGCTTGTTTGAATACAACATGACCTCAGCGGATTATGAAAGCAAAGAAGACAAAAACAAATCACGTAAAGGCAAAATCGCCAGAACCAACCCCTTTCCATGAGGTTTATTGGACAAATGTTAGTAAACGAAAATGAACCTTATCGCTGAACCGCTCCGTGTCTCAACCAACATGTGAGAGATGTCTTCCATTATCGAGGACTAGACACCGAATGTTTAAACACATTGATCTGGGTGTTCGTCATTTAATTTGTCATTTCCTGTGTACATCATACATATGTATGTACATATGCCAAATAGAATTATGATTTTCGTGAAATATGTTCAATAAAGCCGATTTTGGACAAACATTGTGGTCTCATAAATCAAGGTATTGTGGAGTCAAGCAAAAGTAGTTTGTTTCTTTGGAGTTAGCTGGTCTCCGCACATCACTAGCTTCGCAGAGTTTGATATCTCTAGCTAATAAACTTATTTAGATGCACGTTTTTTTTTTGTATTTTCACGGATGTTTTTGTAATATTTCCATTCCATTTCGTAAGTATTTCGTGTATAAAACTTTTCAATTTTTAAGGCAGTATTATTAAAATGTAGTTAACTACAATGAACATTCTTATAAAAATAATTAAAAATTTAATGTTTTTAGAAGATTGATAGAAATCAATAAAAAAAACTGTAAAAAGTGCCTTCGGGGTAGATTCGGCATTTTGAAGTGGGGCACATTCGGCCATATAAAGATAGTGCAATATTATTTCCTTTTTGAGTTTGTCTTTAAAAATTATCCTTTAATATGGTTAGAAATTATATATATATATATTGGACCAAACGTGCTTGTATTAACGAAAATGCGATAGAAAAAAACTATTTCTGGCCTTGAGATGTCAACGTCCGCCGCTAGAAAATATAAGCTTAAAAGTCTAACTTCGAGTCGCATATTAAAACAAAATGGAACATTTAGAGGAACTGCGTTTCAACCACACTGATAGCGGTGATAATTACCAGGCTATGACTATGGTGACGAATGTGCAGCATCAAATGCCGAAGCTACCGCGGGTAGGGGCACATTCGGCAAATTTAACTTTTTTTACAAAACTTTAGATAATGTCATTGTCATTGCAGCGCATATTAAATAATTAGATAGTGTGTATACATCGAAGTGTACTCACTCAGATATTTATGTATATATATATATATATATATATATCAATTCGGTAAATTGTATTTTGATTTCAAAGTCTAAACAAATCCCCAAAAATGACCTTCAAATTGCAAAATCACAGATTACCAGTATTTGCGTGGAATGCTTCGACGCCTGTCACTTTCAAAAACCCAGATGTTTAAAACACGTATCCTTTAATTTCCACAGAACACTTCAATTACATACCTTTCTCAGATATTTCATTTCCTTCGCTTAAAACGAAACACTTTTTTACAAAACGTATCACAACGATTGCACAACAAATACTATACTGAAGGCCCGCCGAGTATCCTTTGCGCTATCCACTCGATTCACTCGGAGATCAGCTATCTACGACCGCTTTGTGTTGAAATAAAAACACTAATGATGGCCAACAATGGCTTCAATCCATATTTATTCATAAAGACCAAACAGTCAAAAAGCCAACAGTAACAAAACTCCAAAAGCGTTAGCGGTTTGTGTGTTGATATTCACGCACCGGCGAGAACGTTCACCGACCGACGTTGTTGGTGGTTGCAAGTTCCCCAGAATTCAAGTATGATTCTGTTGTATTCGCACCCGCACCCGCACACGCTCCCATATACTAGCTACATGTGTATGTAAATAACGACGTGTTTGTCGCGATCGGTGTTGTTGGGGTAGCAAGGTAGATTCCCAGCATAGTAAATAAACAGAGTAGGGAATTATCGTTGAATTGAGGCTGAACCTTGTGTAGCAGAAAGATGGTCAAGCATATATTCGTCAATCGTTGGGTTTCAAAGAAATGCTCAGTTCGCCGAAAATGCCATCTAAGTGTGGCGACACCGGCACAATTAAAAACAGATCTACAAACCGTAGCATCGTCAGTTTGAACTTCAGTTGTTCTTTCGGTTCGGGGTGTTGACCGTGACCGTGAAAAACAACACAGTGTTACCTCAAGACACCATAGTTTAGTTAAGTGTGTATTTGGGTGTACGTTCCAGTGCTTTTGGTTTTGGTGACATAATTTTTACGGTTTGATGAACTTTGGTGGCAAATGGTTACACTGATTTACTTTCCTATCAAGATGATTTGAAACGAACGAGTGATTCACCTTAATGCCATGTGTTTTATGATAATTAATAAAAATTATTTATGTAGTATGAATATCCCTAACGATATAACTTTTCGCCTATGCTTACATATTTGACGGAAAAGATAGGGTTAAACCCGATCTTTTTCCGAGTTTGTGCCAATTTTTGATTAATTATATTCACCATGTAGAAAATTCCCAGTGCTTTTTCCAAAAAAAAAAAAATTGTACGAAAGTAACATGAAACTTCGTTTTTCGTGAATGGAATATTCTACGTCAAATTCCACTATGAGTCACAAAACTAAAACTACAAACTATATATTTAAATTCAATATATTTTTTTTAATTTACTGTATAACATTAACAATAGGTGTGTTTGGATACTTTTCCAGTAACATTTATTCAGTAAGTTCTAGTTCAGAGAGTAAGCCGTTTTTAGTCTCTTTTGTTCGTTTACTGAGAAAAGTAAACAGACAACATTTAGTAAGTTTTAGCAAATAAACAGCTGTTTCAAGAAAACATTTGATTTGCGCCATTTAATATTAAAAATATAATGAATAATAAAAGAAAAATTGATTTGGTATGTTCCCCGGGAACATTTAAGCTTCCTGCATCAATACATTGCCCTCAATCTGGAACTTGCCTAAAAATATATAAGGAATTAGTTTCTAATTTAATGAAACTTTGCATTACTTAGGAATTTTCTTCCATTTTCTGTAATTTTTATACAACTTAACTTCAAATTGAACTTTGCAAATTAAAAAAATGGTTTGAATAATTTTTGTGTTTGGTCATAAAACAGCTGATCCAAAAATGGCTGAGTTTGCAAAATATTACTGTATAAAATTCTTTCAGTAAACTCCAGTAAGTTTGTTGTTGTTCAACTGTCAAACTTGCTCTCTCACTTGACTCTCTTTTACTGGATTTTTGGCTAAACCGACAACATTTTGTAACAATTGTTACCAAATACATATCGAGTAAACAGACAGAGCTAATATTAGGTGTACCTGGTTACTTTTCCAGTAACATTTATTCGGTAAGTTCTATTTCAGAGAGCAAGCCTTTTTTACTCTCTTTTGCGATAATACTGAGAAAAGTAAACAGAAAACATTTAGTAAGAATTAGCAAATAAACAGCTGATTCAAGAAAACATTTGATTTGCGCCATTTAATATTAAAAATATAATGAATAATAAAAGAAAAATTGATTTGGTATGTTCCCCGGGAACATTTAAGCTTCCTGCATCAATACATTGCCCTCAATCTGGAACTTGCCTAAAAATATATAAGGAATTAGTTTCTAATTTAATGAAACTTTGCATTACTTAGGAATTTTCTTCCATTTTCTGTAATTTTTATGCAACTTAACTTCAAATTGGACTTTGCAAATTAAAAAAATGGTTTGAATAATTTTTGTGTTTGGTCATAAAACAGCTGATCCAAAAATGGCTGAGTTTGCAAAATATTACTGTAAAAAATTCTTTCAGTAAACTCCAGTAAGTTTGTTGTTATTCAACTGTCAAACTTGCTCTCTCCTTTGACTCTCTTTTACTGGATTTTTGGGTAAACCGACAACATTTTGTAACAATTGTTACCAAATACATATCGAGTAAACAGACAGAGCTAATATTAGGTGTACCTCGTTACTTTTCCAGTAACATTTATTCGGTAAGTTCTATTTCAGAGAGCAAGCCTTTTTTACTCTCTTTTGCGATAATACTGAGAAAAGTAAACAGAAAACATTTAGTAAGATTTAGCAAATAAACAGCTGATTCAAGAAAACATTTGATTTGCGCCGAAACAAACAAACAAAGGACAAACACAATTATTTGTATTGCATTTAATATTAAAAAATAACATGAACAATAACAGAAAAATTGATTTGGTATGTTCCCCGGGAACATTTAAGCTTCCTGCATCAATACATTGCCCTCTATCTGGAACTTGCATAAAAATATATAAGGAATTAGTTTCTAGTTTCCATTTTCTGTAATTTTTATACAACTTACTTCAAATTGAACTTTGCAAATTAAAAAAATGTTTTGAATAATTTTTGTGTTTGGTCATAAAACAGCTGATCTCAAAATGGCTGAGTTTGCTAAATCTTACTGAATAAAATTCTTTCAGTAAACTCCAGTAAGTTTGTTGTTGTTGAACTGTCAAACTTGCTGTCTCACTTGACTCTCTTTGGCATTTGGAAACAATTGTTACAAAATATCGATTAAACGGACAGATCTATTGGCAACAGTTTTTTTTTTTTTTTTTTTTTTTGACTTCAGTATGTGTTTATTAAACACCTTGTCAAAATATGCCAAAAACTTCAATAAGACTGTCTCTTAGAAGTCAAAGACAAAATTATTCTACATAAAATTTCACTAACAGGATATCAACCAATATGGTCGATATTTAAAATTTGAATATTTCCAAAGCTATCGCCATATCTTAACACAACACACCTATTCTGACTGCAACTGAAAAAAACTATATACGGACAAATTTTTCGAGCAAAAAGTTTACAAAGAAAACGCCATTTTATTTTGTGTTCTCTTAAATTTTGTTCAATGTTTTACCAGTTTTGTGTTTTCAGCAAAAAGTCGCAAAACTTAAAATTAGTAGATTCTTGTAGGTTCTGGAACGGAACTTTTATATCATATTGGAGTTACTTCTAAGTGACGTCTAGGAGTATATGAAGAAGATTGATGTAATTTTACAGAACAATTTACATTGTAAAATATTTACAAGAGAAATCATGTGAATGAACTCAATCAGGTCATCCAGCTATTTCTATTTTTTTTGTCAAAAAGCATCAATATCATTTTCAATTTGCTTAAAAATTATCCTAAAATACACAAAATATTTATCAAATCAATTTATTTATTAAGCTAAAATCTGTGTTGTGTTTTGTTGTTGGCGTTCAAAATTTGTCTTATGGGTACTACATTTGATAGAGCTGAATATACAAATCCATCGCTTATATCGAAAAAATAGTAGAAGTTTTCTTGTAGTACGGGAACAGGCTAATTTCACAACTGATGTAAATTACGGTTATAGTGAACTAATAGAAGGCAGACTAATTAGTTCCTTATGCCCAAGTGAGGCAAACGTAGGGAAAACAGAAAAAATAAATATTCAGTTCCGAAATTGTTTGTCCTATTTGAACCTTACATATTTTGCCAACGTTGGCGTTTGTGCGGATTTTGATCGTTAATTCTTATGTATATTTCTAACAAGTTCGTTAAAACCGAATTAAAATAAAATTGGTAAATTTAGCCCAACTCGATTACTAATTTTCCCTTCCCTTATTTTATGGACAAATTATGTACTTGAGAGCAATTTGTGATATTTCGCTTTTTTAGCCCGCTTTTCCACAGGCAAACTGCTATTTGGCAAATTTGTTTTTTTTTTTTTTTTGAAATTTTCGCTTGCTTTTCCACTAGCAATTATTTCTTTGCCAAATTTGCGAATCAAAATACAAAAGAAAGAAACGTCAAAAGTGTTTACATTTTAAAGAATTTTTTAATATTTTATTTATTTTGTTATATAAATTGCAAAAATTAAAATTAAATTTCACTTGTACAAATTAAAGCAACAGGTTTGTAAACAAAAGCCGGATGTGTGTCAGTAAAACCAATAGGTTAAAAAGGAAATGTCAAGAAAATTGTTTTCAACGCAAATTCTGAACAGGCAGAGTTTTTTTCTTCCTCGCACCCCTCTCGCCGACAATCTCAGAATTTACCAAATAAAAATTTGCTGTGGAAAAGCGGACTTACTAGATTTATTGACATCAGCTGGCCTTGCCGGATGACTAAGGTGTTATATTAAATGGTAATACTTTATAATCACCCTGCATCAGTCGAATTACTACCTATGTGTGGGTACCTGTACCGATTACTCAGTACTAATGTGAAGGAGCCTGTACAGGGCTGTCATATTTGCCGATTTATCGGCATTTTGACGATTTTTCACTCTAAAAATGGAAAATGCCGATTTTCCGATTTTTGCCTCAGAATTGCCGATATTTCAATAATCGACACAAATTGCCTAACTTTTTAATTTAATACGGCGTTACCATACAAACATATAAAATTGGCAGCTTTAAATCATTATAACTATCGGCGACTCGCCGCAGCCGTTTTCAATGGCTTAGATATCTGCATTTTTTGTCAGCATTGTACTCTGTCTAGTTTACATTTTACATCGAATAAGGAAAATCTTTAGACTCCGAGTTTAGGGAGTTAAACTTTCTGAATTTTGAAGAAATTTTTGAAAATACAAAATATAATTTAAAAAGTTTTTGGAAAAATTTTTCAGAAATAAACGTGGGGACTCCAATTTAGCTTTTCCAGTTTTGTCTAAACTTGTACAAAGAATTATGGTTCTTCCACACTCCACAGCAAATGTGGAACGAATTTTTAGTCAGGTAAACCTTAACAAAACTATAATTAGAAGCTCATAATTCAAATTGTTTTAATATCAAAATTGATCATGAATTACTAAAAATGTGTAATAAAAATATGTACTAGTTTGTAAGTTATTTTTATGACCTTAATACCTGTGTTATACGTAAATCTGAAAGATCTCACTAGTGTACATAATAATTACTATATTTTAGAAAAATCTACATTTTTTATAGAAAAATGAACCTTTTATGTTATTTTTTTATACAGAATTGAGTTTATCTTTTTTTAATGTAATAAACAACATTGATTTGTTATAAACCAAAAAAATATGAATTTATTTATAAATTATATGCTGCCGATTTTTTGCCGTTTTTTAAAAATACAAATGCCGATTATGCCGATTTTTTTCTGAAAAATTGACGATTTTTCATGAAATTTAACTGGCAGCACTGAGCCTGTATCATTTTCAGCGCCGTCAGTTGATGCAAGCTATTTTTTCCACTTTCGATTTTTGCCACTGAACAAAAGTCGACTTTGGCCTTTAACTAATGAAACTTTTATAACATTATGAAACTTTTAAAACTTTCGATTTTGTCAAACCTTTTCAAAATCGACTCTCTCTCTCGACTCAGATTCTATGTCTTTGATCGACTTTCGAATATGATTGGAGTAGTTCATGTACTGTTGTTTATCATATGATTAAGTGAAATACTTTTAATTTTAATCTTATGGAATAGCTCATGGCCATTTGGACTGGGTTCTCGTTTATGAAATAAAATTGAAAAATCAATATCAAAAACGCTAACACTTATCGTTTCCTTGTGTTCTTGTATTTTCGATAACACATAACACAAAGGAGGACTACATGCGAACTTTCTGCTTATCAATTTTCGGTCAATTTTTGAATTCTTCGATTTCGGCATTTGACTAAAAAGTAAGTTGACTTTTCGATCATTCGATTTTGTCACACCTGCTCAAAATCGATTTTACCGACTAAAGCAATTTAATTTGTAATCAATTACATTCCAAACCATAATTTGTAAATTGCCACACCTTAAACAGCCGATGGTTTTACGCCAGTAAACTTCTGCGTTGTTATTAACATTTCAGTATGGCTCGGTTCTCTGACTGCAGCTGCTGTGAGTGTATGTGTTGTAAACAATAAGGTTCTCATTTAGTATCCCTTCCACCTCATTCGTTATATTTCGGTTATACCACTTTGAGTTCACCTTTATCGGCCATTTTGTCTCTCCTCCCATTCGTTAAGAGGTGGAACGCTTTTGAATTTTTCTTCAGTCGGTGAAAAGTTCAGAACAAAATCACGTTTGTTGCACTAATTTTTAATGAGTAAATTGACGATAAAAAAGAAAATCTAGCAAGAAGGTTGTGTTCATCGTTGTGGTCCCAAGGCCTATAGATAACGTCACCCAGAGAGACCAGCTGGATATCAACAGCCACACAATTTTGCTACCAACATTCATTATTGTTAATTGACTTCCATTATGAAAACGTAAACAAAAGTCCAAATCTGACCTTATGCCATGTACAGACGGGCGTCGTTCGCTCTCTCATTCGTTGTTCGACCCTGAATTATGAAGTAATTACTTAGTTTCCCATACAAAATTGTCTGAGCGAACACCGACTTTTGTACGTTGTTCAATTCGAATCACTCTCTGAATAACCAAGAAATTTGTCCCATCCCTAACAAATGAGAGTATTTATCGAAAATACATTAATTTTGACAGAATGAAAATATTTATAAATATTTCAAACTTTTTCAGTAAAATTGAAAATGATGAATGAAAGTAAAAAATTGTATTGTTTTTATATATGCAGCAGGATGGAAATTTTGTTTTCTACATAATGCAATATGCATTACTTTTCCCTTGGTTCTAATTATCGTACAAAACAAGAAACAAATGTGGGGCAACTCAAACACAAAATTCTCCAAATTTTTATATGTGACAGTATGTGACATTTGAATTGAGAAATTATAAAAATGTATTAATTTGAATTGAGAAATAAAAATGTATTAAAAACAACATTTTCAGAAAAAATGGGAAACATGAATGAAAAGTAAATAGATATGGGTTCATACTATAGTCAGGAGAAAAAGAATTATTTTTTCTATTTAGATCCCTATGTAATTCACTAAAATATATTACATTTTTGGTGTAAAACAAGAAACAAAAAGTTTGAAATAAAAAACTCCGATGACATGAATTATGAATAGTGTTGTATGAACGGGTTAATTCATGTACGTAATTCTGAGAGCGAACTACGTTGTTCGGATGCCCGTCAGAACATGGCATTAGACTTGAGAAAAAAAACAGCTGCTTTCCGATTTCGATCTTGGCCAAACCTGCTCAAAATAGATTTTCGATTTTTACCGACTAATACAAAATCGACTAAACATTTTATTTTTTTATGTAAATTGTTGTCATCAGACGATCTAAAGTGCTGGAATATGTATTTTCTGGGAAATTTTTGCTTTTTGACAATAAACCAAGTATTAATGAAGATAATCGAAAGTCGATCCTGAAAAGTCGATTAATCGATAAGTCGAAAGTCGATCTACTTACCCCTAGTGTGGCTCAGATCTTTGTCGTGCATTTCTCCTAGTTTTTTCTACGTATTTTTTGTTTGTTTAAGTTCTGTTTATTATTTAGCACAAAATATTAAAAAATAATTGCTATCTACGACAAATTAACCACCGACGAAGGCTCACAGGTAAATTTCATTATTTGGCATATTTCTTGTAGTAAAGCTTCATTTGGGTAATGTGAAACGATTTATTGCTGTTAGTTCAACGAACATATGAATCATTTTGATGTCGTCAGGGGAAATGGTTAATCAGTCTGCTGTCTTTTTGTTCGGCATTGTTTAGGGTCGCTTCAGGATCGAAGCATCGAAGGCCCCGCCTAAAATCCCAGAACGAAATTGTTTTTTCTGCAACTGAATATTTTGAATTAATATGTCTTTCGATAAATAATAGAGAATGGGAAATTATAGAAAAAAACTTCGTACAAGTACGACATTCAGACTTTTATGGTAGGAAGTAACTTTTAACCCTGCTTATATGTTTATTTAGATTGTGATAGAATGAATACTTATTAGTTTAGTTAGATTGTGATAGAATGAAATAGACTATAATTATCTAGTACGACTTACCAGATTCTTTGTTGCAGTTAGTATCATCGAAAAATTAAAAAAGACCGTTCTCTGCTACCGAAGCTTCAAACAGTAAAATGGATTCGCAAAATGATTTCCCTGGTGCATCCAGCTCCTCTGGAAATACGGAGTAAGTATAAACAAATATATTGTATATAAGTCGTGGATATTTCGCTAAAAGCGGAGTCTCGTAATGAATCCCCAAAAATATGAATAATGTTGCATGTAGTTTTCCTGTTTTACCTCCACCACCATCTGCCCATTCACCCAATTCCTTTCCAACCAGCAACAATAATCAACAGAGTGCAGCTGCAAAACGACTACAACAGACTCAAGCCAAAGTCGACGAGGTTGTTGGCATAATGCGTGTCAACGTGGAAAAAGTTCTTGAACGTGATCAGAAACTGACGGAATTGGGTGATCGCGCCGACGCCTTGGAACAGGGAGCCTCTCAATTTGAGCAGCAGGCTGGGAAATTGAAACGCAAACAATGGTGGGCCAATATGAAGATGATGATCATCATGGGTGTTATTGGCGTTGTACTTTTGATAATTATCATAGGTAAGTAAATCCGAGTGTAGTAACTTGAACAAATGGATTTGGAGTTTTCTTAAAAAAGTATATATGTATATATTATATATATTATTTTTATATATTTATTTATGTATATACCCTTATTACGGTAGGCGTATTCGAATGCGTTGTCGTTTTTGATCGATATTATGTAAAATTTACGACAACGCCACATTTTGTAATAGATTCCGACCCAGAACCTAAAAGATTCTACTAATTTTTCAAGTTTTCCAACTTTTTACTCGAAAACCGTTCCTAAACCCACAAAACTAATAAAATGTTCAATCAAATTCAAGAGAACACAAAAATTATTTTGTACTCTGAGAGCGATTTTGATATGTTTGCCTTTTACTACCTATACAGCCCTACCCAAAATTCAACTAGCTCGTTTAACGTTTGTCACCACAAAAGTAGAACACATGTATTTATATGAATGTTACCGAAATACGTCGACGTACGAATTCGAAATTCGAAAATTCAACTATGACAGAACGTATTTTTGTTTTTTTATTTGTTGAAAAAAAAAAAAACAAAACATAAAGGAATTTTTCAATAAGAATATGAAATAATTGGACTCATTTTATAATTTTTAAAGTTTATTTCTCGATTTTTTTTAGCTCGATAAGAGATACGGACTCGATGTATTTGGGTAATACGCCCGTATAAAACATTTCGCCATAGTGGGGAACATGGTACAATTATAAAAGGTAACAGCAAATCCCAGCTGATTTGACTCCAACGTAATACTAGTGTCAATATGAATTTGACAAATTATGTTTTTAAAAATCACCCAACAGGAAAATTGGGAACGCATACAATTTGAAATTGTTCTTTATTAATGTGCTCCCGTATTCAATTTACTCAATCTGCCTGCTGGGAAAGTTTGAGGAAGCAAATCTTTCTTGAAGGAATTACTCGCTATTCCCAGCATTGTCATATGTGTTACACATATATATGGCAATGGCTCAATTAAAGGAAAGATGTGGAAGCGATAGAAATATAAATTTGATAGATTTTCATACATGTTTTTTAATTTTTATTTTGAGTGTTCGAAAATATTCCATTTTCAAAATAAAAATAATTTGATGATAATTTGTTTGTTTGTTTGTTTACATTTTTCTGTCAAATGAGTTGACACTAGTAGAACTTACAACAACAAATTTCCATGTGGTTGTTGTATCGTTTTTTGTACAACAACACTTGCTGTTACCTTTTATTATTATACCATGAGTGGGGAAGTGGAAAATTTTTGTACGTCTCGTTGGATTTTAGGTAACTTTGTTACTATTAAAAAGTACTGGAACAGAACAATTGTTAAAATTCTGTAAATTTGAAATTTCGAATGGAAAATAAAATACGTGGATTAATTTAATAAATTTTAAATTTTTCCGGTTTGTATTATTTGCATGAAGATATGGATTCGACGTATTTGGGTAATACGGCCGTACACAACATTTTGCCATAGTGGGGAAGTTGAATGTTTTTGTACGCCCCGTCGAATTTTAGGTAACGTTGTCAATTTTAAAAATATTTTGAAAAAAAAATATTTGAAGAATCTTGGACGACAAAATTGACGTATTGTAACAACTTCCATAATACGGATTTATCGTATAAATACGCCAGTGAACAATTTTCGACACGACTACGCCAACCGTAAAAAAGTCGATAACAAAGCGATGGCTTTTGTCTCAGGTACGGTTGAGAATCAGGATTTCTGATTACATACTCATGTCTTAAGGGGACCCCCCCCCCATTCTCGGGGTCAAAAATTTTGTTGATATAATTCGAATCTACACCAATTAAAGAATGTCCCTACAAAATTTCAAATGAAAATCTCAAGAACTCTTGAAGATATAGCAGGTTTATTGTGTCAGCATCAAATGACGGCTGAAGGGCTTTTCAAACTTTAAACGCGTTTTTCTCTAAACATAACTCAAAAACTAATAACCCAATCGACTTCAAATTTTTACACGTTTCTCTGTGAGTGTATAGCTATGAACTAGGATAAAGCCAATAGGTGAAGATCTTCCTTATTTTTAACTTGGGTTTTGGTAAAAAATCGGCGATTTTCCAAAAATATTTTTTCAAAGGTCCACCATTTTGTTAATTATAGAGCGAAGTCAATAATCCTAGACTTCGCGCTATATCTGGCTCATACGAGAGCCAGACATGTACTCCTTCTAACACCGTTGGAATTTTCGGATTCCGATGTTTCAGTGAGGAGTTATCATGCCCGCCATCAAAAATAAGGATTTTTCTTTAATTACAAAAAACAACAACAAAATAATAATAACAACATTTTTTTGTAAATTTAAAATCTTAAATGATATGCTCAATGGCTTCACTTTATTTTCATGTAGTGACAACGACCATTTACAGCTGAACGAATTATTGAGGTTTTCCGTTCCCTAACTCTATTAAGGAGAAAACATATACATATGTTTGTTTTTGCTTTCGTAACTATTTTTTATTTCAACATTCTGGTTCTGAGAAAAGGATAACCGTTTCACGTTGATTTTCTATTTCAATATGGCCATTAATAAATATAAATATTGTCATATTGTCGCATGTCATTCAAAACATTTCAATTGCAATTCGAGCATATATATATATATATATATACAAAGTTAATTCTTTTCCAGGTATTTTCATTAGTTTTCTTATACACAACGCTTGAAAACAATTAGGGTAGCAATTAAAAACAAATTCGACCCCGCGAGTACTCTTTCAAAGGAATTATTATTGCAATTTTGTATGTTTTTGCAGAGTGCGTTAATAAAGATTAATTTAATGCCTTTCAAACACTCTAAAGTGATTAATATGTAAAAAAGGGATAAGCAATGCTTACTACAGGCGAACGTTTCCACGACAGAGGGGTCTACGATACGAAACGACGTGAGTTCTACTCGGCCAATATTAGTTCCGTTAAAGAACCTAAAATAATCTACTAATTTTACAAGTTTTGCCACCTTTTACTCGAAAACCGTTCCTCCATCCACAAAACTAGGTATACTTTGAACCAAATTTAAGAGAACACAAAACCAAATACCGTTCTCTTTGTAAAATTTTTATGCGAGAAATTTGAACGAGTCAAAATGGTAAACAGGAATGCCAACTCCTGATTGGCTGTTATGTTTATTTTGAAGTATTGCCATCTAATTTTGGCATATCTACCAAATTAGCGTTCGAGAACTTTTTAAATTGTATTGTACTCTGCGAGCGATTTTGAACTGTTTCTTTTCACTAGCTTTACTATTAAAAAAGTGCTGTAACAGACCAATTGACTCACTCCATAAATCTAGTGTTAACTGTTTGAATAACGTCTGAAAAAAGTGTAGTTGTATTTTCTCGTTTTTTTTACAAGATGCAAAATATTAATTTGTTTTTCTGTACCTATCAAAATTGAATTATTGTTTGGTCCATAAGAGAACAATTTCAATATGAATTAAAGTTTAGTCTACCTCTTGTTGTTTTACGATGCTTTGCATGTTTTCTAAATTTGCGAATAGATTTGCTAAGATTTATATATAACATACCTAACATCTTATAAAAGTTATTGGATTTGTATTTTGTTTTATTGTTGTCTTACATTTTACTAACATCAGCGTAATGCAAAAATGTTCACATGTATACAGTGGTGTGCAGAAGCGAGTGAATGTTTGTACTTTGGACATTTTTTATGCCATACAAATTATAGTAAAAAAGCAAATTAAAAATTGTTCATTCATAAAGTTATGCAGAACAAAAGAAGAAAACCTAAAATAACTCGTATACACTCACTTTTGCACGTCTGCATTTTATGAATAATTTGAGGGAAAGTAACACAATTATCCTTTTTGTTTTTATTAGTTTTTTAAGAAAACATATGATTTACGTTATTTAAATCACGTTTACAAAAACATAGTGCATTTTTTTAACCAAAATCAAATTTTTGAAGCAGTCCTATTGTTTTTACACCTCGGGCTTAGGTTACCGACTCGTGTCGTTTGGATAGTAGACCCCTCTGATTGCGAAATCATTCTTTATAAAATGTAATTCCGTATTCAATTTACTCCAAGTGACCACTGGGAATGTTTGAAGCACTAAATCTGTTGTTGAAAAATACATGAGTTGACATTCATATTCATTGGCGTTTTTGTAAAAAAATTACTCAGTAAATTTTCCCAATAAGATTTTTCAATATTCCTCAGTAATATAAAATTAGAATAGCTCTCTAAAATCACACTCTTTGTTTACTTATAGTTATAGTTAGTTATATAGTTAGTTATATCAGCATAATGAAGTCAGGGTAAAACTTTTTCAACGAGTACAAAAGTTGAATTGTTTTCGACTGGAAGCGTGTTATCGGATCAGACGAAACATTATTGCTGATTAAAAATATGCAAGCATAACTGACACATTAAAAATATAAGGCTTCGGTATATGTAACTAATACTATTCGTATATTGCAAGCTTTTTTCAAATGTGCAAAAGTGAGTGCATTGGAGTTGATTTTGTTTTCGTTACTTATCACCATACTAAATAAGGTCTATCGGGAGGCGAATTCATGTCATAGTCTTGCTATCAAGTTTTTAATCGCAAAATACCAACCAGAGCAGAATAACATTTCAGAATACATTTCAGGAAAACGATGTGATAGTATTGTGCACTTATATTTCGGTTCGAATAAATACATTTGGTCTGTTCCCGTATTGCAAGAATCTACTAATATTTACTACGATAACGAATTTTCCTTTATGATATCCAAGAAAATAGTCAAATCTAGTAGATTCTTGCAGTACGGGAACAGAACAATTATTTGCTAATTTATTGTTCAAAAATAAATTTTGACAGTCAATGAAAACTTCAGCTCGCCTTACCGATTAACCTTATTAATAGATAATTACTTAATAAAAACAATAACATTTTTTGACTTTTTATACTTCTCAAAGTGGAAACATACACTCACTTCTGCACTCCCCTGTATGTAGGGTCTATATTTGATTGTGGAAATCTT